GCTATGGGCATTGTGCTAGTTGCTCCTTTTTTAGGGTGGGTGGGTGGGAGGGATGGAATTTTCCCTCACCACCAGATTGGGCTAGGTGGAGTGGGGTTTTTTTTTTGCTTTCCCCACAGCGGGTATTAGGGAGGACTTATTATGGTGAGGAGGAAAGGGGGTTAGGCTGTATGTTGCAACTCATTTTGTAAGTGTGGGGCAGATGTCCGGTGTAGGTACTCCATAGGGAAGGCATCCAGTGATCAGATAAATGGCCTGGTAAAGGACTTACAAAGAGGTGCTGGTTAAAATAATGGAATGGGGGTGGGGGAATCGAGGCTCCTATGATTGGTATGGCACAAAGCCAACCCCCTTTCTTATAGCTCACCTTAACACTGCTACAATGTGGGTGGATTGTAGGGTCCAAGCCATGGGCTGGCAGGATGGAAAATGAAGGGGGGCTGGTGGAAGCCTTGAGTAGTTATTTGAATGAACATGGAGTTGCCTGCACTATACACCTATCTGCCAGTAGTCCCAGATATCTAATAACAAAGTTGTGATCTTATTAAATCCATATCAATTGTCTCCTGCCCTTCTTTTGGTATAGCTGGACAATACTTTGTTGGATTGGAACCAAAGTGCTCAGTACCTTGCACAGTTGAGCTTTGAGACACAACAGCACTCAGAGTAGCAGCTAATGTCTCAAACCTCCTAGTCAGGCCAGAGAGGAGAATCATGAAGTGCAGTGACCTTAAAGAGGATCGGGTTTCAATTGGCTCTGCTAACAGGTTTACTTAATTGTCACTGAGCATGCTCAGAAGTGATTTTTCAATAGCTTAGAACATTAGTGTTTAAGTGAGGACTATGTTTATACTGCATTTCATGTGTTAGCTGTTTCTATTAAAGGCCTGTGACAAAAAAGTAGGGTGTTTTTTTAATATTTGAAGAGGGTATATTTCTTACTCTTTGATCTTTTAAAACAGCAGAAAGGATTTGGGCCATATTTTTTCAAAGAATAGTCATCTCTGCGCTTAGACTAAGGGTCCTAAATATCAATCCAAGAGGTGACTGTTTTTGAAAAATGCAAGCATATAAAAACAGGGGCATATAATGGAAGCTCTTTGTCAATCTTAAAAAAGGTCAGAACTAACAGGTGCCTGTCATACTAACCAGGGAAAATGGAGCATACAGATGGACATGGTGATGGTGCGCACACACACACACCCTCCCCTCTGTAAGTATAAAGATAAGGAAGAAGTTATTCTCACCAATTAGAGATACAATTAGAAAAATGGATTTGTATCAACACAAAAACATATCAGTTTAAATACAGAATATCTGAAGGCAAGATCAACTTGGGAATGAAACCAATTTGTGAAAAAAGTCAGAGAATGAGAAGATCACTAAAATCCATCTGGTCATAGCTCAAGAGACTGGCAATAATTTATAGCCATTAACGTTCTAACCAAAAAAAAAAAAAAAAAAAGACAGGGACTTGGATTGTCTCAGGCTATAGCATCTTCTCCCTTGTGTCGAAGATTGGTTTGTTAGCTTTTTCTGGATAAAGTGCATGAACAGAAGATCACACCTCTCCTACCAACTTCAGATAGCTTCTCAGCCTAGCTTCTCTCAACCTCGATCATTTCAATGACAAAACTGTGTCACCCCTTCTCTGGCCTCAAGCTTTTACAGAAAGGACACGCTAATATGTTAGCATGCTACCTACTGCAGCCTTTTAGACAAAGGCTCTTAGAGATGTCATGTGGCTGTAGCTTTGTGGAAAACATAAAACCATTCTGTGGGATTTGTATATCTTCAATACTGATCAGAGTCAAAATGAGATCTTACAGGCTTTATCTGTTTCTTGCTGCTTGATCAATTTCCATCTCATTATGCCCAGCACTAGCTTTCAGGATTAGCTAATAGTCAATGGTATACTAGTCTTGACATAGAAGAAAAAAAAAAGCTATTAAATTTGATCTTCTAGTTCTCCCCAGAGGTAGGAAACAACAACAAAGTAATTTACCCCCTTATTAAGAAGGTGATTCAGGGCATAGCTATCAGCATACAACCACTGGCTGACTCTTTTGTGCATAGATATTACCCATTAGTGCACCGTGTTTTAATGCATTATTATCATTAAAGCCAATATTTTGGGGCTATAATCTTGGCAGTTTAGTTCCTTCACAGCATTCTTGTGAGAAAAGATATCAACGGAAATCTGGAGATTTAATTATTAACATGTAATTCATTTTGCTCATTCTAAAGCACGGTTCTTTTATTCTGCATGTTTCAGCTAATGAAAGTCAGATTCAATTATATTTTGGGCAATGGACTTGATCTAAAGGGGTTTATCAGCTTTCACAAAGGATTGTAGGAAAACATTTTGCTAGCAAAAGCTGGCTGGCTAGATTAGGAAAAAATGTAAGGAAAAAAACACCACAGAAGAGGGGACAAATATGCAGTTGTTTTAAAGCTGCATTGTGTATGATTTTTAAAAAGAACATTTTAATAGCAAATATTAGAGATGGGCCAAAGTCTGAACACCCTTACATTTTTTTGGGGGGGACGACACTGTTTAGAGTATGAACCAAACTCCAGAATTCTGCAACCCGCCCTTTTGTCTATAATGAGCTGAGCCAAACTGTCAGATTTGAAAAAAAACAACAAAAAAAAAACACAAAAAAACTTAATTTAGAGGGTGTCAAAATCTGGGTTCACATCCAATTTTGTAGTTCAGTCTCATCTCTAGTAAACATGGTCATAATTTTCCTTCTAGTTTCAGTGGCAGATTCTGCTGCATATACCAGGTCATTATTTAGTAAATTGTCCAGTATCTTCTGTGCTAGACTAAAATATATTGTCAGCTTTAATAAAATCCTAATTCCAGAGGTTGATAACTTGATTTTGTTTAGATGACTTCAGAGGTTTCAAATGCAATAACCCTGAACCCTAATGAATACATAGCAGTAAACATTTGGGGGTAGCTGGCAGAGCATAATACATATTCAATAAATGAAGAATAAAATAATTTAATTGTAAATTAATGCTGTTAGCCTAAAATGTTATGTGGAGTTATTTCAGTTTCATAAATGTCTTATTTGATGATGATTGGTGCTGAATCGTCTTTCTTTGTGTTGTCTCTAAATCAATCTGATGTTAGAAGAAGAGGGGAAGGCTGATTGAAGGCTTTTGAGGAATTCCCATTAATTGCAACACATGTGATAACAAATGATTTAAGGGAATGCTTAGTTTGGCAGATATTCAGTGGGAAGGAGAAGCATGGAAAAGAGAAATGCCAAAAGAGAACTAGGGTTGGTAATAGACTGCAATTTAGATGTGAGTTTGCAATGGAATGTGATGGCAAATAAAGGATAGTGCAATTTGCATACACAGAAGCATCAGGGAGATTACAGCCCTACTCAAATGAACCCTTAAAATCACATCCAGAATACTGCCTGCTGACAAAGTACATCTGCTTCTATCCTCCATATGCTTTAGGGTGGCAAAAGTACCACTTCTCCCTCACATGCAGGAGTGCCGCCAGCTTTTTTGCCGACCTAGGCGGCAGAAGGTCCCGCCCCCAAAATACCGCCGACGACGGGGCGGCCGAACATCTGGCCGCCGTGGTCACTGCCCCCCAAATGTTAGCGTCCTAGGCGACCGCCTAGGTCACCTAATGGGTTGTGCCAGCCCTGCTCACATGAGACTTTTGCTGCTGGTTGTGCCTTTTTGAAACAACAGCAACTTGTGTTTTCTCTTCTGTCTCTGCTGCCCTCCTCACTGTTAGTAATCTTGCCACCTGGTTGTAGACAACAACTACTTTTAATAACAGAATACAGCCTTTGGCAGGAGGGCGGCGGGGGGGGGGAAAGAGTGTTGCACTCTTTGGAGCCCCCCCCCAAAAGCCTTACATTAAAGTTTAAAATGTTCTGTTTAAATGCTCAATTTTGGTCAGACCCTCCCATTTTCTGAGAGAGGGGGGAAAAATAAAGGCCCCAATCCTGCATGCTGTATGGCTATGTGGAGCCTCCCTGAAATCAATGTTAGGTTGATAGTTCTTTAAAATGCATGGAGGGGGCCTCATCTAACCTCCTTCTGGAAGCCAGTGAACAGCTTGGCACTGTAAATGTTGCTAGGCAGGATAGCGAGAAGGGTTTATAATGTGCAGAAACCATGAAAGAGTTGCAGTAAACTCTGAAGTAAGTAAAGCTAGGAAAGATCACAAAAAATCCTTAGATTCTAGTATGATTGTTTCACATTTAAATTTCATCTCTCCATCATTTAGTGTAAATTATTAATACCTACCACTGAAATAACACAAACTTTATGAAAAGGCCTCCATTGGCAAGTCATTCTAAATTATCTTTTTCTTGGTCTTATAGACACTTTAGTAAACTCTAGATTTTGTCCTTTTACAATTTACTTATGCATACATATCCATATACACATACAACCATCTCAGAATGACTATGAATACAGTTTGAGAGGTAGACTGGCTTACTTAAAAATGAATTCCCGAAGAAAACAAAAAACACCCTTTAAAAAACCCACAGAAGTATTGTATGAAGGACAAACCTGAGGCTGTTTACTTTCTGTTGACATTTTGGCTTTTATCTCCAGCAATAGCTCATAAACAAACAAGATCTGGGCTTCACACGGCTAGACAGGACTGTATTAAACTGGACTATTTTTTTTTAAAAAGGCTGTTCAAAAAGGTATAGTGTATGTACGAACCCCAAACTCGATGATTTAGATTAGTTTGGCACTGGAGAAAGTTACATTATAAAAAGTAAAGGGGTGTGCATATCATTTGTGATACAGGATATTTTTCTCTGACTGTGGTATCGTCTGTTGTGAACTCTGTGGGTGTTTTAGATATACCAGGAACAGCCCAATAGAATATATATAAATGAATGGCCTAAATGATATTGATTACTTAATAAAAAATAAAAATCAAGATTTCTTAATTGGTGTTGGGAAAAAATAAATTTTAAACAACTCTTTTAACAAACACCTACTTGAGGTCTTGGGAAGGTTCTGCTCTGATATGGGGTGTCTCCACAGAGTGCCCAAACACTGCCCCTTCTGTGCCTAAAATAAAAACAAATAAAATACAGTACAATTATACTAGAAAACAAAAACACATTCAATTCTAGAATGATCAATCACCATTCTAGGACAAAATACTTGGTTGATTCATTTGTTTATGCTTCTGCATCTTATTATCAATACGCTTTCTTCAGATTCAAACATTTATTTTTTGCGTTAAAGAAAATGTTATTGCTTATGCCAAAATCTGTATTGAGAATACTAGAAACTGAAGTCATCTATATATCCATAGAAAAACATTAACATAAATAATGGAAGTCCAAACTTTCCAGCACTGGTGTGCCCATCAGCGTATCCATCTCAACACTTTTGGAGAAATCATGTTAAAGGTCACAATTTTTAAAAAGATAAAGAACATAAGTTTGAATAACAAAAAACTATGGTCAAACTTTCAGAAGTGTCTAGTAATTTTGTGTGCCTCAGATTTTGTGTGTCTACCTTGAGATATCTTGTACCTGGTCTTCAAAGGTTTTGAAAATGCACAGCTCCCTTATTCTTCTGAAGATACCAACTATTTTGAATCTCTTTACCCTTTTTACGACTTACATTCCCTTGCCAGGAGACATTGGCTCACTAATTACTGATGACAACATTTCTGAAATGGACAGTAATTCTGAAAGTGTCATTTTTGGATGTCCAACAGGAGACACCCTGGTGTGTGTTGCTGAGCCCCCAAAAACTGAGGCATACAGAATAAAGTGAATAGTTCTGAAGCTTCAATTTATATAAGCATCTATAATTTCAGATGCTTATACAAAGCTTAATGAATAAGGCTATTTTACCATTTATCATTTTCAGTTAAAACTGAGTTTTGATGAAAAATGGGGTTTTATTAAATGAAATTTTTCACAAAAAGAATCTACTTTCCATGGAAACATTTTGACATTTTCATTTAAAAACTGAGAAACAAAAGTTTTTTGGTTTTCAGACAAAAGTTCCATAAAACTGATATTATTCTTTACTCTGAGACACAAGGATAGAACACATATAACAGCCATTTATATGACTAACTTTATGTATTTTAGTAGATAGCAGTACCAAACCTATATTGTTAAGCATTCAGAAGATTAGGCCTTTTTTGAGAATATACTGATATCTATTTGTGTTTATTGCCTTTGTATTAGAGCCATATTTTATTTTTGTTACCCATTCTCTCTACAAATTTTCTATCATTGTTACTAAATCAACAGCCATGTGCCTGTAAGCTCTCTTTCCCCTTTATTTTTGACTACCACTTTTTTGTATATACATAAACATAGCTTTTTACAAATCTTATTAAATAATTGTAGAGATACATCACTCTAGATGTAACAATATTTTAAACACTTTGCTGAACTAAGTTATGATGATAAGATTAAGAAAACAGCTCTAGCCAGCAGATTAAAGGACAAAGAGCACTGAATTGGGATGTTATATTATTGTAACATTTTGCAATGATAGAGGGAAAATGTCCTCAACTTGAAGCCTCAGTTAAAACTGAAGGATGGTGTTGATTTCCTTGGCTAAAAATGATGGTAGTTATTCTTCTTCCAAAAGCTGCTTGCCCAGGAGTTTTTTTTCTGAAATGGTTGATGTTACTGTGGTTAACAGAGAGAGGGGACTTAGGGAGGTCTAATGGGCTGTAATAGCAGCAGATATCGATATACCTGAGTTAGCGTTAATCTTGCTAGTTTGGGTACTGACCGTGTAGCCACAGCAGCACAGACTTCAGTGTGGATTAAAGCTCTAGGCTTTCATCTCCAGAGATGTAAATGATGTAAATCATTATTTAGGTCACAGTGAAAACCAGTTTGGTAGATTCATTGCAACTGCTATTTTTAAATGTTACAAAAAATAATTTATGGGGGAAATCCACTCCGAACCACCAAACCCAGCTGACCACTGTAGAGATCTACAGGAAGGGAGAGGGAGAAATCTTCCTCCAACACCACAGAACATGAACAATGCTGCATTATGGAATCTACTCTGTTTGGAGTAGCCTTTGCAAGCCTAATACTGTCAGACAGGGATGAGGGGAAGAGACGGACTGGAGCATCTGTATAGTGATAACTTCTCTAGCTACACCCTTATGCTGCCCTGCTCTCAAAACCCAAATCCTGCTTCCACATGTAGTGCCATGAATGGAAATCTTGTGGAGCTGGATTCCTTGCCACAAAGAGGGTGCTTCCTACATATCCTCAGCTCCTCCCCACATCCTGGCCAGCAAAGCTGAACACATTTCACATCCAAGGGGCCTTCCGCAGCTGTGAAGGTGGGAACAAGACTTGAACTCATCAGAAAATTGTGCACAATTTAGAACAACCATCAGTCTCTACTTATGGGAGACCCAAAATTATAGTAGCAGAGGTGGTGGGAAGTCAAGATTGAGGTGCTTGGGGGAAACTTGAACAAACATCTCCATACCAAGGGCCATACTCTACTCACATTCTATTGTGTGTGCCAAACTATCACAGACAATTCTGTGCAAAGAACAAGAATAGAATATGGGCCATAACTGGCTCAAAGGCAACATTCATAATTTTTCACGTACTTTTGCTTATGAATTGAGATTGTCCCCCCCCCATAATACACATGGCAAATCCATTACACAATCAGAGAGCTTTAACATGAAGACAACTAAACCAAGCAGATTTTAAATTTTAGTACTGCGGACTAAATAGAATCCTTAAAGACACAACTAATGTTCAAAGACAGATATGTTTTCCTTTACCTTCAGGAACATAATCGCACATTACTTTTTTGAGAGAAAGAGAAGAAATGTAAGTATAACTAGTTTTATAACAAGTTCTTGATCTTAAGAAATGTGTCATTCTGCTCACCAGGGAAATACAAGTACATATTCCTTACTTCCTTGTGGAAGAAGAAATGTGTTCACATATATATTATCTTGTTTTTAGCAAGAGAGGTGAAAAAGATCAATCCCTCAAAATCTATTGATATCCCTCCCATGATAAAACACCAAGATTAAGAAAAACTCAAAGAACTAGCATAACAACTACAAATACCTTATTACCAGAAGCTAAAAAGAAGAGGGGAGTGACTAAGGGATGTATTGTATTGCTATCATGTTTTAGGTATCTTTTCTCTCATCCACGTGTGTGGGGAATGTTCGGTGGATAACTCCTATTATTATTAATTAATTATTATTATTATAGGAACTATATGTAAATCCCCTCTGGTCATTGATGGGAGATTAAGCTCCTATCTCCACCCTTTACTATAACATTACATTAGAAATGTGTGTGCCTATGAATATTACATGCTTTATCATAAATCATATCTATAATATAAAAGTCTGATTGGTTTTCTGAAGACAAATTGGGATAAATAGGAAGAAACATACCCTTTATTTCTTATATTCTGAAGATTTGTCCTCAAGAATAAACCAAAGGATATTTTAGTGCTACTTGTTTTAGTCAGAGGTAAAATATGTGTCTTCTTTTAATGGATTGTGAAAGCTGCTTTATCTGGTACCCAAGGCTCACAAGAACTGACAATATGAATGAGTGAGTTCAAAAAACTATGAGAATGACACACAGAGAAAAGCTCTTCATCAGGGTAAGGGAGGTCCTTTTAAAATTTCCTAAAGTTAATTCAAAATAAGGATTATTTTGTCTCTCAGTGACTGAAACTTGACAGGAATGGATATCTCTGGAAAGAGATGCAAATCTAATGAAAATCCAAGATAGACTACAATTTCACTTCCATAAACTTATAGAATGGTAAGCAAGATTTACACTGAGAATGAAAATCTCGGCAGAGATTAATCCATATAAAAAACTAGAACCTTTTAGCCCTTTCAAGTATACTGCAAAGTGATGTAGTTAGGGTACTGAATTCAATGGAACATGATGGAGAATGCATACCAATAAAAAGTGAACATTTCAGAGGAAACAAAATAGAGAGGGCACTGAGTAAGGTGCAAAGGAAGTAAAAGCAAAATCACAAGTATGAGTGAAATTACTTTCAACACCAGCTCTGGAAGAGAATGAGTTAATAACACAACAGACTTCATTTAGAAAAAAGCATCTCCCTGCCCCCAGACAGCCCAATGGACAATAGGGATAATCTACACAGAAACACTGAAAGAAGTTAAACCAACCTGAGGCAGAATGGAGGTAAGGAAAGAAATCCCATAGAGATGGCAGGTTTTTAAAAGACATTTCTCTGACAGAGAGCACAGCACAAATCATATTAATCCTAATTCAGTACAAGCAAGATCTAGTCATGCATTCCCAAATTGTATTCCCCTGAAACTATGGAAACTGAAAATGTATGCTTAGACTGACTGGTCTAAGTCTAAGTAAATACTTACTTCTGCTCAATTTACTACTTACTGATTTGCAGCTTTTGGAGAATGACAAGTTTCATTAATACATCTGGCAATATAAAATTGCTGTTTGGTAGTGGAGGATATTATCTCATTCATGTGTTCCTGGAGAAAAGCTGTTGGTTGATTTAGGCATAACCAGCAAACTATGGCTCATTAGTTCTCAAAAGAAGTTTAGTGGCATTCAGTGCCTTACTAATAGGCTAGCAATTAAAGGGCCAGATCCTGCATTATTGATTTCTGTGTGAATATTGTATAAGAACCAGATTAAAGAACAGTGACGTAA